AGATGGTGGTTGAATCACTTAAAATCAGTTTGATCCTTTTAAGGTCTGTTTTTAAGACTTGTTAGACCAGAGCTGCATTTGGTTTAGGACTGATTATTCTCTGCTACTGAGGCAAGACCCTTCTGAGTGTTCTACCTGTGTCTGTGAATTTTGAGGTTTTTCAGTCTAGTTGCTGGGACCAGATGTCATTCCTTGCAAAAGACATTGTTCCTTCTAGTTCTTTCTGATGGCTCTTTCCTGGCCTCTGGGCTTCTCACATGCCTGTGCCAGTCAAGCCTCAGCTGAAGACTCCAGGAATCCCCCTCAGCAGACTTCTCCCTTTGTTTCCCTCTGCACTGTGCTCTACTCTCCAGCACTGGGTCCTGCAAACTCTGGCCCCTTGGATCTCCTTTTTGGACCCCCAGCTCTGTCTCCTCAACTCAGGGAGTTGCCAGGGGGCACCGGAGTTGCTGCTCCTGCTCCCAGTCCAGCAAACACTCAAGGCAGTGAGCTGAGTGATCACATAACTCCCTTACTGGTTTCTCATCCCTTAGGAGTCACTGTCCTTCCTTGCCTAATGCCCAGTTTTGAAAATCATTGTTGCATAAATTTTGTCTTTATTTCCTTTTGATTGTTTCAGGTGGGTTGGGTATATCAGCTCCCTCTCACACCATCTTACCCAGAAGCAGAAGTCTCTCTCTTATTTGTAGGACAGGAATTCAATGTTACTTTCTCAAGGGTATTTCTCACAGTGACTCTTAGGGTAAGAAGTATCTGCCTCAGCATCATCTAGGACACCTGTTAAAATGCAGTGAGCTTCACCCAGATCTGCTCCATCTCCATCTCCTCAGTAAGGCCCAGACAGCTGCTGCTTAAACAGTGTCCTGGGTGTCTCACAACGACATCTTTAGAAACTGCACAAAGGGCTTATTTGGCCAAACCACCCAATGTATATGACGAACTGTAATCTAATAGGGACAGGGAGGAAGAGAGAAGGGATGTTGGCTTGAAATTCTACTGAGAAGCCAAAGCTCCTTTCTGTGGACAAAGTGAGGCTGCTTGTCCGAGGAGCCATCTTCCATAATTTGTTCCCTTAGAGTTTCACTGGCAGGGGAAACGATAAATTCTTCAGCTGCTGAAAAAGCGCTTTGCCCTGGCTTATGGTTCTTTGATAAATAATTGCTTGATTACAGAGTGGCCTTCGTCAAAACACCTGACTAGTTTTCCTGTAAGAAGGAAACTTAACCAGATGGCAGCTGCTGGGGCTTTTTAGGGAATCATTTACAGCTGCAGATCCTTGAGCAAAGCCCATTTGAAAGATGGCATGGCCATGCAGAGGCTGGGACTTGTAGTGACTTCTCCCTGGGAACCACCTGGACTGGCCTGGCTACGAATATGGGAAGATGGGGATGATGGTCATCGAGGGTGACACTTAAATGGTCTTTATCTTGTGGCTGGAGTGTGTGTTGAGGTCACGCCTTAGTGAAGGCAAGAGTGAGGAAAGCTGGAAGGCTGGGGAGAGAGAGGGAGGGAAGATGGAAAGAAAGATGAACCAAAAAACCTATTTCCCTTTGAACTTGGAAAGTGCATGTTCTCTCAGAAACTAAGGAGGAAATATTAATAAAGCCACTGGTAATAAATTTTCTCCCTTAGTTGAATGTCAGTCACAGAAGATTTGTATTGTTTGGTTAGGAACTGAGTACAAACTCAAAATGTTTTGAAGCCTTAGGTATTTTCATTTCTTTTTATGTTAGTTGGGCCTTACATTACACGGTGATCAGTGCCAAGGATGGTGGGAAGACAGCCACACACCGTGGAAAAGATCTGTTTCCCAAGCCTTGCCCAGCAGTCACAGGAGATCTTTTTTCTCATGTGTTTTCCAAATAAGGCTCTCTAGGAAAACCTAGAGTTTCATTATGGAGCAACTCAGTGTGTGTGTGTGTGTGTGTGTGTGTGTGTGTGTGTGTGTGCAGATGACACCTGTGTTAAATGTCAACCAACCATGGATCTTGGTTTCTGCTGAGTATTTGGATTCTGCACGTGAAGTGCTCTATTTTCCTGGAAAGGGTTGGTCCTACCTGGTGACACATTGGTGTTGGTCAATCACACCTCATCTCTTTTGATTCTAGGGAGGAGTGGGGAGGAACAAGACATGTACCTTCTCATTCTGAATTGCCACATGGTCTCTTCAAAGGATGTCATTGAATTTATTCCCCCTTTAAAGAGGGCACACATTTTAAAGGATTAGAACTGCATTGCAAACTCAGAGTCCTGGCCTTGGGTCTTGGCTCTGCCTCACACTAGCTGCAAAAACTTGAATTTCACATTCTTCACTTACATTATAAAATAAGGGAATTTGAAAAGCTGACATCGGATGTCCCGACTAATGCCAAATTATCTAATTCTATATAACCTAAATTGAACTGTGGTGACATACGTTAATGGTAAATTCACTGGAAGACTATAGAAATGTGAGTTCCTATGGTACTCAGAATTAATCACTGGGCAATTTAAAGCTATTAAACTCCCAGAGAGCACCTGTTTTTGGACCATCTCTCGTTTAAAGAAGTGTGGAGTGACATATTTTCTTTACCATGAAACTCACATTTTCTTTTTAAATCATATATATTGCCATTAAATTTTATTCAGCACAGTCTGAACATTTATTTTTATCTCAAACACTTATTACTCTTTACAAACCCATTTGATTAGACATCATTTTCAAATTGTACACAATGAATTTTCTATTTGTTTCTGATTAAACAATTCAAATACCAATTATAATTTGTGTTAATAAAAATATAAATAATGATGAAATTTATTGTCCCCAAAACTGTTACATGAGGCTTTTTAAAAGGGGAAAAATGTAATTAAGAGTGTTTTCTTATGGCTATGGAAAATAGTCAAAGTTTGAGTATTTTTTTCTTTCCAGCAAATAATGTTTATCTATAGACACAAAGAGAGGAATAGTGCTACCAGCATTCAAGTTTTTGAAATAACAATATTTTCCACATTTGGTGTAATACAAGACACAAAGGGGGAATGTAATAACTTTTTATTGAATAAATGGATAAATTAATGGATAGATGGTGTCCACTTGAAGTTCACTTTGGAAAACCCTTACATGCAAAAGAGAGTTTTTAGTTATTCCATTGTCATCTCTGTAAAACACCTTAAGTTATGTGAAGTCTTTTCTAGAACATTATCTCTATAGTGACAATTTAGTATTCTACTAGGGGTTTTAACAGTTTGGGGACATTTACTTAAGCAGTCATAAAAAATATGTATCCAATTACGGTGTCACTTCCAAGACATGAATCCTAAAGATGATATATTAGAACAAAGTTCCAGCTGTACAAAGTACCATTCATTCAAAAATTATCTTTTTGTCCTTGTACAGTGGTTCATGCCTGTAATCCCAGCACTTGGGAAGGCCAAAGTAAGGCTACAGGTGTCTGCGTCTTAGCTATGCACTTAGTGTTTAATAGATGTGGAATTATGGGGTATGCAAACCTGGTGCCAGGTATGGTCATGAATGAAAACAGATTTGCTTGGTGATTCAAGAGTGGGTAGAGTTAATGGACACACAAACCACTACCTGATAGCTTGACATCCCCCAAAGTTCATTTCTTATGACAGACAGGAAATCCACCTGTAGGAATAACAACAGCCTGGACAACTGGTAGCTCAGTGACTCTCTATAGCATTAGTTGAGGCTGAAAGAACAAAGAGGAAGGGAAATGGTATACTTCCCCCCTTTTTAAATGCTATTGTACTCATTTAAACTTGGATTAAAATTTATATTTAAAAACGGAATTTTAATTTACAAATTGCCTTACTTTGCAAAATATATTAAAAGTCACAATCTGTATGTACACAAATTTCTGTATAGTTGAGCATCTAAGGGTGAAGGTAGCTTGGTCTTAGGGCTACTGGAGTTGAATCCAGAGATCAGCCTCACCCTGGTACCCTACCGTAGCTCAGATGATAGTTCACTAACAATTCGTGTCTTCCGCTAGAAACTTTGCAGCTTTTGTTACTGCCGTAACCATAGCTCTGGGGCAGTGCCTTCAACATGGTAGGCACTTATCCCTTCATTATCTCTGAAATGAATGAATTTGAGGATCCTTAACAGGCTAGTTTGAACTGGTATGTTTATAATAGGATTGCCAAGAGTGGGAATGAAGCTTTATGCCATTGTAATGTTAGGGAATGACATGTATTTGCATGTATCTTCCTCCTGCAGTGACTGTTTCTAGTTTTTAGCTCACTGAGGTTCCTGTGGAAAATGAGGGCAGAGAGAAAGCTCATTGCTGGCCCATGCATCACACTTAACACATTCTAGATGATGATTAGGAAAATGTACTCTAGAAAAATAGAGGGTACTGTAAGATCCTTTTAACAATTTTCTATAGAGTTGTCCAACCATGGTATATATTGAAAATACATTGTTGGTGTTTATTCTTAATATTATATGCTTAATTCCAAGGGTTCTCTAAAAGTACTACAGTTTCCCAATCTTTGAGGTTTAAGAAGTTTTTAACAAATTCCTACAAGGCCTTCCATGACCCAGTCTCCTCCTACCTCTCCAGCTTCACCTGTTCTTCTGGTTGACTTTGCTAGAGCCAAGTTGGGACTCAACAGGACGGCACATTTAAGCTTCTTCCCATGCCAGGGCCTCTACATATATTGCATATTGTTCTATCTGGAACCCTGTGATTAAACTGCTGATCCATCCCATATCTGAGTTTAAAAATGACGCTTCATTAAAGATGTCCCTAAGCCTCACCCTGTTCTCCCTTAATGTTTCCCTGGTTGTAAATAGATAATTAATCAGACAGCTAATTGTTTGTTTTGGCATGTGAGTTTCCTGAAGCCTGTGTATGATGTTTCACTTTTGAATTCAGGGCTTCTCCAGAGGGTGTGGCAGCAATAGATGCTCAATAAGTATTTTCCAAAGCCATAAATTTTGAACGAATAATCTAAAGTTTGGTAATGTTTTTTCCTTTTTGTCTCTTTAGCTGGGAAGTTATCAATACCCAACCAGATGAAAGACCCAGGCTCAGCCACTGTATTGCAGAATCATGGATGAATTTCAGCATATTTCTTCAAGAAATGTCTCTTTTTAAACAGCAGAACCCTGGCAAGGCAAGTTTTCCAGTAAAGGAGTATGTTTTTAAATGTTCAGTTACTTGGAAACAAATGAACTAACCTATTTTTATCAGCTTATGAGATTTCTCCAATTTTAAAGATAATATACTAAGAACATATACCATAAAAGCTGGTATCAGCAAGGTTCAGAACTGTGAATGTGCGAACACTAGAAAATCCTCAGCCTCCCATTTTGAAACTGGATTGGTTTTACATTTTATACATATTTATCTAGCTCATTAGCTAGAATGAATAGTGGTTGGTCTTATCAACCAGACTAGGGAGAGAAAAAGTCCTCAGCTATCGTATTTAGCCTGGTGCTATGAAATGATAGCACCAAAGTGATATGAAATGAATACGTACTTCTTTGTGCTTTTGGAGATAACAGAATCTTATTTTCAAGCTAAAAAGTGGAGATTCTTGTATGATTTATTTAAGAAAGAAAACTTTTGGCAAAAACATTCATAGTGATTATATAAACAAAATGAGTGTATATAATTAAGATAAAACCCATGAGGGGAAGTGTCTTATGTGGTCGGAAAGGGATGACCTGGAGTGCCACACATACTTGTATTATTTTATGTGTAGAGGCGTTTTAATTCTGATTGACTGTCTTGATAGCTTGGGTGAGGTGCAGAACCATCAACAGACCTAGTCTCTTCCAGTGTTGCTTTCAAGTTTCTTGACTATCCACCTGTGGATAGAATGAAGAGCTGGGAATGTCAGCATTGAAAAATCTCGGTTTTTGTACCTTGTATGGGCAATCTCATAACTTCAGTAGTACTAAATAATAGAACTACGCTTGGAGACATTTTGAGTGTATTAAAGTGGCTGTATGGCATTTGGATGCATTTTTTAAAATCACCCAAGGCATTTTTTAGCATAGGTATCTATATTTGGGGCATAATGTTCTGTTGATGTTGATTTTACTGAAGTGGTTAAATATATTTTTTGGAAGATTCTAAACTTCAAACTTCTGCATTGGGTTGCATTAATGTGCCCAAGTCAGTGAGCTTAAAATGATGATGCTACAAATGTAGGGCATAATAGGAAATCCCTTTGTAAAACTAAATTCTGGATATAGTAATGCTTTTATTGGCTTATTTGTTCCTTTGGCTTTTATGGCCTTTCCATTTCACTTATAGAATTCCAGATTCTTTCAAGGGCCCTTGCTGTTTTAGAAACAGCTCTTAATTTTGTTCCACAGTTCCTCTATTCTACTTTTGACTAGTTAATTTATTAACTGTACTAAAGAATGAAAAATAAAAAGTAAACTCACATTTAGACCCCTTTGCTCTTTATAATAATCAGTTATTGGTCAGAGGTATATATTCCTTCCTCCTGTGTCTTTAAGAAACTCCCTTAATGAATTTCCTTTGCTTACTTATCAGTTTAATTTACTCTCACCATTTAAAGATGATGCAAAAATGTAAGACAGTTTAAGACTGGAGTGTGAAAAATCAGGTGATGACTTTATGGGAAAATTTTTCTACCTGGGTGTTTCTAAAGGGAATTAAGGACATTTTCTGATTTTTAAAAAATTTTTAAAACAACCAAGATTTTTTTTTGACTGTAATGAGAGAGAGAAGGAAAATAAACAGATGTCACTGTAGGAGTTTCATTTCAATGGCAGTTTGTTCTAGGTGACTTAGAAGTGGGGTCAATTTGAGGGGTACATATGGTTAGGAAAGAGGTGAGTGATGGCCATAAATTTATCCTGTCAGCTTAGCAACTATACATTGTGTTAGATTTGTGTAAACTACATTAGATTTGTAGAGATACCTCTAATTTCTGGAACATGGGTTTTGCCATGTTTTTATGAATTTCAGTGGGCTTACAGTGGTAGTTTGAACTTTCAGATATAGTTACCAGGCCACAATAATTTCCTTAAATGAGGGAAGTAAAAGAAGTTTCTGGGGACATAATAGCTCTCTGTTCTCTTACACCTGGCAGTAATATAGCCACAGGCATGAGTAATGGAAGTTGTCACTACCTGTGCCGGAAATTAGTTCCTGTGTCTTCAAAATGATGATTACCGAGTGTTGAAATGGACTAAGGCTGGTTGAATGCAGCAGTCATTAGTCAGCCCTTAGTACAAAATAATGCTTTTTGGAAAAAATCTGTAATAACCTGAGAGGTCACATATACATTTACAATTGTGTGTATATCCTGTGCTCTAAAATATCTTGGTGTTATACATAACTATCCCATGTTATTTCTGTTCTTTCTAGTTTTGTCTCCTGGTCTGTAGTGTGTGCACATTTTTTACAATCTTGGGAAGTTACATTCCTGGGGTTATACTCAGCTATCTACTGTGTAAGTATACTAGAACATGTGGCTAATTTTTGTGATGCATATGGTTTCATTTATGGTCAACAGACCTTCTGTAGTTTGAGGAGGAGGGATGAGTTCTTAACTATAATATAAGTTGATTATTCTTTAATTTCTTGCTGTACAAAGTTTCTCCATTTTCTTAGAGACATGTCTATATTTTAAAATTGGAAGAATAGCTGCAAAAGGCAGAATTATAAGTGAATAATTTAATGTTAAATTTTGTCAGTAAAACTATCCATAAAGCTGTATGCCCCACCTCCCAAAAACACACCAACACCTTTGTCTTCATGCATGTTCTTTGGCTCAAAAAAAATAATTACAATCATGATGAAATACCATTGCATCCCTACCAGATGGCTAAAATTAAGTGTACTGATAGGAAGTATTAGGAAGGATACAGAGCAAGTGGAATTCTCACATACGGTTGGAGGGTAGGTAGAATGTTAAAATCACTTTGGATAACAGTTTGGCAATTTCTTAAAAACTACTACATGACAAATCCATCTCACAACCAGGTACTTACCCAAGAGAGATGAAAAGTACAAAGACATAGATGTTCACAACTTATTATTTGTAGTAGTCAAAAGCACAATATAATCTATACATCCATTAATAGGATGAATGGGTAAGCAAAGTGTGGTATATCCATATAATGGATTACTACTTAGCACTAAAAATGGATACATACAACACGATAGAGAAATCTCAAAATAATTAGACTGAGTAGAAGAAGCCAGATGAAGGAATATGATTCCATTTATATATTATTCAAATTAATAGAAAATTCAAACTAATCTTTAGTGACAAAGCCGATCAGCGGTTGCCTGGGGATGAGGTGGGAGGGGGCAGGGAGAAGAGGCAGGAGACTGGAAGGAAGGATGAATACGAACATGAGAAAACTGCTGGGGGTGGTAGACATGTTCACTATCTTGATTATGGTGATGCCTCTTAGTTGTATGCATATGTCAAAATTTATCAAACTGTACACTTTAAATACATGTATTTTATTATACATCAGCAGTCACTCAAAAATGTTATTAAAAAGTGTAGATTTTCTGCTTCACCTGAAAACTATGATACTATGATCTGGCACTGCTACCTTTCTATGGGGCAGGCACTCTCTACTTAACATACCCCATATTTTCCAATTTTTCTTACAAAATTTACAGACAATTTCTTGGCCTCTACAGATATTTGAATTGTAACTCCTATTTCAAAATATAATAGGGGGCATTTCCAAAAAGAGCAAATAAATAAAGATTAGGAATACAAGACCTAGAGCATGGCAATCTTTGTTTCTTTTTGTATTCTTAATGCACGATGCAAATGGCAAATAGTCAGAGCTCAAATCCATTCTCCCCAAAAGAACTCATATATAACATCAGCCTCTAGGTTACATTGCTTAGGAGGTGAAGGAGAAGAGGACTAGGGAATGAGAGAATAATTTGGGCAAGGCATTATTCAGATGGTTTGCTTTGATCTCATTTCTACTTTACAACAACAACAAGAAATAAAGTTATTATCCTGTGTATTTGAAGTGGAGAGCTCTAGAAATATTTATTAAGTTTACTTGTTCCAGATCTGAGTTCGAGTCCTTGATATCCTTATTAATTTTCTGTCTCATTGAATCTAAGTCTCTATGTATCTGGGTGTTAGGATCGTTAGCTCTTGTTTTTGCATTGATCCTTTTACCACTATATCTTTGTTGCTTTAAAATCTATTTTATCCGATACAAGAATTGCAACTCCTGCTATTTATTTATTTATTTATTTATTTTTGCTCTCCATTTGGTTGGTAAATCTTTCTCCATCCCTTTGTTTTGAGTCTTTGTGTATCTTTGCCTGTGAAACAGGTCTGGATGTAACATGCCGTTGGGTTTTCACTGTGTCTTTTGATTGGGGGATTTAGTCGATTTAAATTTAGGGTTACTGCCATTTGATGTTAACTGGCTGTTTTATCCATTCGTTGATGTAAATTCTTCTTTATGCTGGTGCTCTTTACTTTTTGGTATATTTTTAGAAAGGCTAATACTGGTTGTTTCTTTCTGTGTGTAATGCTTCTTTCAGAATCTCTTGTAAAGCAGGCCCGGTGGTACTTAAAATACACAAAATATACATTCTTGTCAATACCACATCACACCTACTCATAGGTTTAAATGAAACATTGATTGGCCATTATTGATATCTATTTTTTTCAGAATAAAGCAATATTTCCGTTCACCCTCCCTCTTTCTCTTCCTCTTTCTTCCTCTCTTTTACTCATTTTTTTTTCTTTCCTTCTCTCAAAAAAAAAGAAAAAAAAAAAAAAAAAGAAATCAACTTGTAAACCTCTAGATCCAGGTCAGCAATGTCTGTCTCATTGCTTGATTTCCTTCCTTCCCTTCCCTTCCCTCCCTCCCCCCCATTCCTCCCTTCCCTCCTTCCTTCCTTCATCCCTTCCTTCCTTCCTCCCTTCTTCCTTCCCTCCCTTCCTGCCTTCCTCTCCTCCTCCCCCCGCCCAAAAAAAAAGTTATCCTAATATTATTGAGAGGCTAATAACTTTCCCATGGCAAAATGGCATTGAATACATAGTTAAACCAGGTCTGTTGTCTGCAAGGCATGTAGTTTTTCTATAAATTTTGAGAGTAAAAGGAGGGAGCTGATCTAATTGCATCTGAAAACAGTGACTGTGAGCATTGTATGTGTGTGGGTGGTAGTAGAAAATGTTTACCTTATAGAAAAAGAATGGAAATTATAAACTTATTTCACAGAGGCATTTCCCGTTAAAAAAAAATCTTATATTTTTCAGTAAAGAAACAGTACTTTGAAATGTATATAGCCTTTTGAAAGGAAAGCCATTTTACCTATACTCTCTTTCTTCTTCCAGTACTGTGTGCATTTTTGTGTCCATTGTTTAAATGTAATGATATTGGACAAAAAATATACAGCAAAATTAAGTCAGTTCTGCTGAAACTGGATTTTGGAATTGGAGAATATATTAATCAGAAGAAACGTGAGAGATCTGGTAGGTAAAGTTTATATTTTAGATTCTATGCATGAAGTGAGACATTAGTGGGCTATTTTTAGGAAATTCCTTTAATACATTTGAGGATACTTTTAGCCTTTTACTAAATATTATTATAGAAGCAAATCTCCCTCAAGGTAATATATACATATATATAGTCTTTCCCTATTTAGACTTTCATTCTTTTCTCAAATATACAATTAAATAAGCTGACTTTTTAATCCAGATTGTCAGGGTAGAAAGAAAGGGCTTCAGCACACTTTATTTTGCTATTTATGATTTACTTAACTTTGTTTTATTTTGGGTTGGACTATCGCAAATATAAAATTACACAAGCAGTGCTAACAGCATGGAAGCTGTGTAAGAAGTGATTGAAAGCACAGGGGAAGGAAAAGAAAACACAGGAGAAGTCAGTATAATCACCTTTTACTTTTTAACTTGGCTTATGACTGTTTAGGTACTCAAACTAGAATGTATTAGAGTCACCTGGAGGGCTTATGAAAAGCTAAACTGCGTGGTGCCGGCCCAGAGTTTCTGATTGAATAGGTCTAGAGTAGGGCCTGAGAATTTGCATTTCTAAAAAGTTCCCAGGGAGGATGCTTTTGCTGTTTCATGGACAATATTAAAAGAACCACTAACGTGTATCTTTTGCAAATACGTGAAGCTTTTTATGTGCAAACATTTAATTTTATGGAGGCATTTTAGACTATGAGAAATGTGGGGTAAGAATACAGAATAAAATAAATGCACTATGTCTAGGTTGGCTAGGAAACTGAAAGCTTCCACATTTTTTCTCAACAGAAGCAGATAAAGAAAAGAGTCACAAAGATGACAGTGAATTAGACTTTTCAGCTCTTTGTCCTAAGGTATTTGTTTAGTTTTCAATTTGTTCCTGTGTGGTTTGATTGTAAAGGTATTTAATATTAAAAGGCCAAAGCTGAATGAGCTTCCTAATAGACTCCTTAAATTTCTGTAAGATGATTGAATGATTTCAGAAGAAAAATATCCATCTGGTTTTTATTACTCTGAAATTTTGGGGGCTTGTATAGTTTTTCCAAATATTCCCTTCAGCAGTTTAAAATGTGCTACTGGTATTTATTTATATTAACACAGATTAGCCTCACGGTTGCTGCCAAAGAGTTATCCGTGTCTGACACAGATGTCTCAGAAGTGTCCTGGACTGATAACGGGACCTTCAACCTTTCAGAAGGATATACTCCACAGACAGACACTTCTGATGGTATGCTAATATTTCTGGATATGTTTATTTTTTATAAGTGCATACAAAACTATTTAACTTCTGTCAAAATACTAATGGGTAAATAAAATGTTACCACCATATCTATATAGTGAAATAACTTGGCTATTGTGGGAAGTAGAAAAGTTCCTTTTTAAAGTGTTCTAGGATTAAACAGTAATGCTGCTTGTACAGTTCTGTGGATATACTAAAAAACACTGAATTGTACACTTTAGAAGGGTGATTTTTTGGGGCGTATGAATTACCAAAAGCTGTTGAGAAAAAAAATCTAAATTAGCCAATGTCCAGATCTGCCTTTATTTAAAAAATAACAAAAAATTTGAAAAATTACCTCCTGAAATGTCTTTGAAATGTCCTAAGCAACAATGGTGGGAGAGAAAGAGAGAAGCTAATCCTATACATTTAGGCCTAGTCCTCACTAAAAGGGGCTGAAGTATGGAAGGCAAATTCCCTGAGTCCAAAGCTGACTCCAGAGTTTCTCACATTTGTCTTCAAAGTTAAAAAAGCTTTTTTATTTTATTTATTTCCAACTTTTAAGTTCAGGGCTACACGTGCAGGATGTGCAGGTCTGTTACATAGGTAAACGTGTCCCATGCTGCACAGGTCATCCCATCACCTAGGTATTAAGCCCTGCATCTATTAGCTATTCTTCCTGATGCTCTCCCTCCTCCCACCCCTAACTCTGACAGGCCCCAATGTGCGCTGTTCCCCACCATTGTGTCTATGTGTTCTCAGCATTCAGCTCCCACTTATAAGCGAGAACATGCAGTGTTTGGTTTTCTATTCCTCTGTTAGTTTGCTGAGGATAATGATTTCCAGCTCCATCCATGTCCCTGCAAAGGACATGATCTCATTCCTTTGTTATGGCTGCATAGTATTCCACGGTGTATGTGTGCCACATTTTCTTTATCCAGTATATTCTTTGTTTATAATAATTAAGTACAATTAAAAACAGGAGAGTACAATATTTTTTATAATGCAAATTACATCTATAACTCAAATTGAGAGTCAGTGCTTATGCAGCAACTGACTTTTGCTAGTCTTACGGGATTACCTTGTTTTGGCCATATCCTGAACATATGAGCAGGAGGGTGAATGAACTATTTTATACTTATGTTCCAAACACACATTTTTCTGTTTCTAAAGGAAAGAGGGAGGGAGGCTGTGCAGTGTTTGAAAAAAGATGGGTTTGGAAGGTGGAAGACCCAAGTAGAGTCTTGCCTTTGTCACCACCTAACTCTATGACCTTGAATAGGTGACATAAATTTTGTGGATCTCAATTTCCTTACCTTTAAAGTACATCAGAGCATTGCTGAAGGTCATTCAGGCTCTACAAACTTTCAGTACCTACAATTTGAGGTCATATTTTAAAGAACAACAATAACAAGTACCTTGTTGTTAAGCATCCCATCTCAATTTATTCAACAAAAGACCCAATAATAATCCAAGCCACATATAAGGCTTTTAATTAATTGAAGATTTCAAATAACTATTGCAGGGAGTTAACTGTTATAAGGTTTTATTTGAAAAGTAAAAACGATAAAATCTATCAGCCTTCTAATCTGACATTGCTTTCAAATGTCCTAAATCTTGGTCTGGTCAGTTTCAGCTATACTTACAGAGAGCCAATGTTTCCATAAACTCTTGGGTTATTTAGAATGTAGGGAGCAGTATCTTCTTTTCATTGCTTAAAACAAACACAGGTTACAGACACTGAAGTAGATCTCTATATATGAAAATGCTAAGGCTGGATAACATTAATCAAAACCCAAGGAAACTTCCAATTATAGTATTTTAAATTTCATGTACATATACCCATTGGCTTAAGATAATTCCCACTGTAGGAGCAGGATGGGGAATTTTTATAGTAAATGCTTAAACTTTAGTCAAAACCTCAAACTAGTATCAGACAAAGGTGAGTTTTAGGTCAGTACATAAATTGTTTTGTGCTTAAGAGGAAACTAAATATGGAGACGGATGTGTAGTATTTGTGTCCCTGTGGAGAAGAGTGTTGCAGAATTAGGAGGAGTTCAGTATGTGGTTAAAGGGATTCAAGTTGACTCAGGAGGCTAGTGAACGCCAAGCTTGCCCAGAGGGTTCAGATAAAAGTGCTATCATTTAGACAGCACTTCTATTTCAAATTTGTCATGGTGCCTAAGTCTGAACTTCTGTTATGCATTTCACAGATCTTGACCGACCTAGTGAGGAAGTTTTCTCTAGAGATCTTTCAGATTTTCCATCTCTAGAAAATGGCATGGGAACAAATGATGAAGATGAATTAAGCCTTGGCTTGCCCACTGAGCTCAAGAGAAAGAAGGAACAGTTGGATAGCGGTCACAGACCAAGCAAAGAGATGCAATCAGCAGCTGGTCTCACCCTTCCTCTGAACAGTGACCAAACCTTTCACTTGATGAGCAACCTGGCTGGGGATGTCATCACAGCTGCAGTGACTGCAGCCATCAAAGACCAGTTAGAGGGTGTGCAGCAAGCCCTTTCTCAGGCTGCCCCCAGCCCAGAAGAGGACACAGACACTGAAGAAGGTGATGACTTTGAACTACTTGACCAGTCAGAGCTGGATCAAATAGAGAGTGAATTGGGACTTACACAAGACCAGGAAGCAGAAGCACAGCAAAATAAGAAGTCTTCAGGTTTCCTTTCAAATCTACTTGGAGGCCATTAATGTAGGAATCAGCTTGCAACACAGCACAAAAAACACCAAAAAAAATTTAAACGAGAAAAAAAAAAAAGAAAAAGAATTTGAACTGTAAGCTTTAATGATTAATTTAGATTTGTTTTATTTTCCTTCCTGCAGTGAATTAATTGGATATATATCAGCTGACACTGATAGATTGATCTTTCTGATCGTTATTTTTGTGTAGTAAGCATGGAAATGAACTTTATACACACCACTGTGTTGTCAGAGATAAATATTAGGGGTTGTTTTTAAAGCAAAAAGAAACAAAACCAAATTATTAAAATCCTTCTATATATATTTTTCTTTTTACAGTTTTTCAAGCATGCAAAACAGTTTATTGTAACTCATTGAAAAATATTAACAATTAATTGTGAATTCATGCTGTTATCAGCTTCCTTATTCCTAATACCTGGAATTTTTTTTTTTAAACTGATAGATTCTGATGTAAAAAGAAATTATCAAGGTATCTCAGTTGAAGGACTTGGGAAATACTATCAAAATTAATTTCTTAGAAAAAAATTAAAAGTATATTTAAGTACTCTGGATAGACTGAAACATTTCCATGTTATTTCTACAGTTGTAGATTTAAGTTTATTTGTAAAGCAGCATGCTTCATTGACTGCCATCTCTAGTCTTGCAATGGGTAGTATTAACCCATAGAAAGCAAGCAGTTGTATATCACATAGACAGTGGTTATGATGTAAACAGGTTCAGTTGTTTTGTGATTCATTTGTCATATGTTTGTGATAGGGATGTTGGGAGCACAGCTCTATTCTGCCTGCTCAGACTTAAGTTAGACCCTTATCTTTTATATTATGTCATGAAAAAAGTATCCTAAAATTGTGAAACGATTTCTTGATATGAGTGATGTGATCATCAGCAATAAAGACATAATAACTCTGTTTTCTTAGTCTGTATAGAGAGGAACTTGCTTGGCTTTAAAATATATTTATTTGCCATTTAAATATAAATATGAAATCTGTTTCTTATTGGGTAGAATATATATTTTTTCCTTTATTTTAAACTTTTAAAGATTATTTTTAAATAACCAAATTTGATTCATGGTTTTTAACAAAGGACTAAAAAGCTGAAACCAAGCTAGTTTTGTTTTTTGTGATATAAACTTTAAGTGTTGAGGGACCATGCCAGCAGCTACCAAAAATCTCTTAAATCTTCAAGTACAGCTGGCATTTTGGCAGATGCGTAGAGACATCTGAGACCCTCAGAAAGGAAGGATAATCCAAGAATATAGGAGATCGGTGTTCTCTTCCTTTCATTTTATCCTTTTTATTTCTAAAGACTAATTATAGGTAATCTGACATTTTAATATTTATTTTTTCTTTCTGAGGTATTAAAATATCTAGACTGAATTTTGCCAAATGTTAAAGGGAGAAGAGTTACTGAAGACTTTGAACACTTGCTTTTTGTGATTGCTTATGTCATTAGTGCCTCATGACTGTGTTTGATGTCCTTTATTGATACAAAGTGAGCCTGTGCCTTCATTATCTTGCCCATTTTAATACAAATGGAAACCTGGTGTTTGAAAATCTCTGAACTGTGTGGGTTTTGGAGGAATATACCTGAATTTTATTCAATAACAGTTTCTGGAGAGGAAGAAAAATACAGTTACGTATTTATAAAACAGTCGTTACCAGTATTCTTTTTTTATGTGTATGTTTCTTTCTTTCAAACCATATTCTTGGTTATAAAGTCGAAGAGTTTAAAGGTCATTTCTATTTCTTCACTAAGGGGAAGACAAGTTAAATAATCCAAGTAATCAAAGAATATAAGTCACTAGATGACCTTACAAGAAGATTAACTCAAGGGCTGATAATCTGTGATGGTATGAACAATCAATCTAGAATAAAATGTTAATAACTACAAATTTAAAGCTGTGGAGATGGGAGGAAGTTGGGAAAGTAGAAAAATGTGCTGTCACCACTACAGAGGAGACATGGCAGCTCTCTAGGGACAGCAGTATTATAATTATATATGAATTGTATTTGTATATGGCTGTGTGACCACAAATTTACACAATACATTAGTGGTACTTTCTCACAGCTATTAATTCAAACAAACACAAGGATATTGAAGGTTTTTGTTGGTGCTTATGTGTATGCTTTGTTGGGGGAGGTCATTGTTTCTGGTTTTAAAAGATGAAGTAGCAGATAAACCGTGTGATTGATCCAATATAATAGAGGACTACATATCCTTTAGCATGAGAATTAATAGCAATATTTCCCCAACATCTGAAAGAACTGATAATGAGTGGTTTGTAAAATCTAAGTGGACTGAAGTATTTAAAATGTGAACCATGGATATATATTTTTTAAATTGAAAGCTGTAGAAAAGTTTTGCTTACTTCCTACAGAAAGTACTAAGCAATATCACACAATGGCAGTAGCCATATTGAGCATGGATTTTAATCTGAAGCAATAACCAGTGCTCAAGAAGTTGAAGCTCACTTTGGAAGATCAATCCAGGCTTGAATAGTCTCATTCTGAAATACTTTTTTTTTCTTACCCTACATAGTAGCTTCAAAATGATTTTTTAAAAACTGCCTGCTCCCCAGTTTAATAAAATAATAGGAAAAGAAACTTTTATAAGGTTTTGTAATTGGCAAATATATTCAACGTATTTAGGCATCTCACTCTTATATTTGAAATAAACATGACTTTCCTCCATTTAAAAAAGTGGCAAATGGCAGCATGTTACTGATTTTAGTCAAGAAGGAAATCCACATTTAAGAAAAAAAGTGAGTTTTAACATTTATATTATCTGTTTGTAATCTAGATGGGTATACTTGTGTATACTGCTTCAGCTGTGTTCATTGCAAGAGGAAATTATTCTGAAAACCTTTACTGAACTATGGTTGTCTTAGATCATTTGTATTATGATGAAATTAGAAAGCCTCAGAACTATATTTTTGTGTACTATTCCTTCATTTCCATTGTAGTAGCATTTATACTAAGATGTTGAAAATATGAGTTCTGGTTCTAATGTTAACATTATGGCCCCAAGACAAAGTGTCAAAGTCACATAACATCCCCAAGCCTCAGCCTGTTTCCCCAAACATTAAATAGGGAAGTTAATTCTTACCTTCTCACACAGGGATGTTTCAAGAGTGAATGAAAAAAGTATCTGAAGCATGTTTGGTGGGGGTGGAAATGCTGCATAAAACCCAGATATTGATTTCTTTCCTGCCTGTGTTTCAACTGAGTCATTCTTTTAAACATTAAAACAAAGGTAATCAACAAGCAACAGCTTACAAAAACCATAAGGTTCTTTTAATAGGTCTAGCACTGTATCAGCCTCATAGTGCAATAAATCCTTGTGGAATTAATGGATGGAAGTGTTGCAAAAATGCCTGCTATTTCAGTTGATTCTGTGGACCAAGCGTAAAGTTCTTGAATAGTAATTTTTACGGTTGTAACACCTACTGTCTACGGGATTCTGAGAAGTCACCTAATAACTCCATACCTATTTACCTCATCTACAAGATAAAGCTGTAGTACCATTTACCTCACAGAGTGTTGCAAGGATTGTGTCTTAAGGCCAGGGTTGGCAGACTGTGGTCCAGGGGCCAAATCTGGCCTGCCACCTGTTTTTGTAGGGGCTGCAAACTAAGAATGATTTTCATATCTTGAAGTAGTTGAAAAAAATCAGAAGACTATTTTTGACATGAGAATAAATGAAAATCAGTTTTCAGCATCTGTAAATAATGTTTAATTAGAACACAGCTATGCTCATTTATGTATCATCGATAGTTGCTTTTGTGCTATACCAATGAAGCTGATTAGTCATGACAGAGACCCCAGGCCTACAAAGCATATTTACTCTCTGGCCATTTATGGAAAAAGTGTGCTAACTCTTGGTCTAAGACATAGAAAACAGGATCCTGTTTAATCCTCATGACTCTACAGTTAAGTGGTATTAAAAACTTTTTGCCAAAGAAAAGGGTAAATAAATTGTCCAAGGTCACATAGCTAGTCAGGGAAAAAGCCAGCCTGACCCCAAAGCCTATCTCTTTTTTATGTATAACACTAGTATATTGGTTTTATTTTTTGATACATTAACAATGATCATAATTTTAAGTGGTTTAACAGAATTTCACTAAGTATTAAATACTGATTTTATTTTAGATTTTCTTTTCCAAAGGCTGTAGAAACCAGTTGATCTATACTGTTTTAAATGCTGTGATAAATATGCTTTGCTGTAAATTTCAATTTCTTAATAAATTAAGAGAAGACTTTGCATTTGTAGATAGCCAGAACAATTGGGGATTGAAAATCTCTCACAGGATTTAACATTTTTATGAACACAGAATTCACAGAAACTGTAAGCCATGTGATATGTGTACATTCGTTGTTATAGTTCGATATTTGTTGCCCCTACCAAAGGTTACCCTCAACCAACCCAATCGCCTTTATTGTCTGCCTTTTAAAAACCAAGGTGCCACTGCAATAAAGGAATGTGAAAAGCAGTAAACCTGTCACAAGAGAATACTGTGATCAGTAATCAAACTGACTTGAAGGCAACTTCATTAGCTTTTAAATTATGTAGTGATCCAAGATGGATATCCCAAAGTCTTCCAAGACTGAAACAGTAACCATGTTACTGTGTGTACTGTCACCTTTACACTGTGCACCATAACTCTAGTAGTTGGAGAATTACGTTAACTATTTTAAGGGCCATGTCATGGTATCCAGAAAGAATTCTAATTTTCAGTACTTTCAAATTAATTTTCTTTGTCATAGATGGTTTTATTAGTCCATTCTCACATTGCTACAAAGAGATACCTGAGACTGGGTAATTTATAAGAGGTTTAATTGTTTCAGGGTACTGCAGGCTGTACAGGAAGCATGGTGATCTCTGCTTCTGGAGAGACCTCAACGAGCAGACTCAAGGCAGAAGGCAAAGTGGGAGCAGGCAGTTCACACGCCAAAATCAGGAGCAAGAGACAGCGAGGGGGGAGATGATACACACTTTTAAATAACCACACCTTGAGAGAACTCACTGTTGCAAGAATAGCACCAAGCAGGTGATGCTAAACCATTCAAGAGAAATCCACACCCACGATCCAATCACTCCCACCAGGGCCCGCTTCCAACATTGGGATTACATTATGACATGAGATTTGGGTGAAGACAACAACAAACTATATCAGTGAGCTGACTATCTAGATTCTTCAGAGAGTGAGCAGTTTGGTAATTTTTTTGATAGCAGTAACATCAGAAGAGGTTAGACACATTTAGAGTGCAGAGGATATACTGCAGAGAGATTTTACTTAGTCCCTCGCAGTCAGCTTGCATTTACCAAGGAGCTATTGGCTGTAGATGTACTCTTTTTTTTTTTTCAATTAGTTTCAGAGATTGCTGCTGGATCTGCTCAAGGCCCACTTCTGTTCCTGATGCCATATAAGTGGAAACATTTTGTGACTCTCCATTGTTTACCAAATGAAGAATGAACAGTAAACATAAGAATCCAAGTCTCTAGCCAATGATATCGTGGCTCTCTCTAGTCTCATTTTCCCTTGTTTGTATTCTATGCTCCATCCAACCTAGACAGACTCTTCTTAAAAACGTCCTTCATTTTCCTCCCTCCACAGTATTTCTTCTACCTGTTCCATTTTCCCTTTTCACTTGCAAAGTCCACAATCATCTTCTTTAGGACCCATCTGAAATGCTTAATCCTTAATGAAAACTTTTCTGATCTCTCAAATGAGATGAGATTTCTCTGTCCTAAATACTCATTACCCCTTTCTTTATATTTCTTTGTACTAGATCCAGCTTCATTCTATTACAGTTAACTGTAAATATTTATCATCTCTAAGAAATCATAAAAGAAAAAAACTTCTTGAGGGTAGGAATGGCTTAATCAATTTAGAACCAGTAGAATGCTACAAAAAATATGTAGCATGTGGGAGAGATTAAGGGAGAGATGAAAGCCAGGTGAAGGAATTTAAACTATCTTATGGGCAACAGACAATGATTCTTGAACAGAAAAAATGACATATGAAAAAAATGCTACAGGAAAATTACTGATTACCGTATTTACTGTAGAGGGAGGCTACAGGGAAACAGTAAGGTTGTCTTGGAGACTGCAGAAGAACAGTACTTTGGAAAATTAGTGGCAGAGGATACAACACCCCTTTAAAAAAGAAAAGTAATTAGGAGGATCACGAAAACAGATTAAAGGAAGCAGGGAGGAAATAATGACCTAAAGAACAGATACTGGAATGATAATAGGCAAAAGTAAAACTAGAAGGGTTTTACTTTTTAAGGAAGCTTGAAAATATACACTGCTTTGCTTATTCCAGTTAACGACTAATACTAGCTACATTTCTCAAAGTGAGCATCCAGACGGCTCAGGTATTTTATGATACTGATCATCTCAAAATAAGTTTTCTAGAAATAAAAATCATCTGACTTCACTTTTGCAGTGCAAAAGATTCATTTAACAAATACTGAACAGTGGATCTGCTGGCACTGTTCTAGCATTAGGGTATATAACAAAGGAGTGCTTGTTCTCATGCAGCTTGTGCTCTATCTAGATGTAGATGATAACACATGCAGTGTGACTGGACATCCTGGTTTGCCCAGGATTGAGGGGTTTCCTGGGAATGCAGGACTTCCAGTGCTA